CCTCCTCTCTCTCTCTCTCCCTCTCTCTCTCTCTCTTGCTTTCAACTGGGATGGGGTACGACTATCCCTTCTTGTGGGTATCCTCTCGAGGGAGGCTAGCTGGCCGATGGGAGAACCCGAGGGTTGGGACTTGTGGATTCGCTTGAGACCGTGCATCTGTTGAGGACACGAGATGATGTGTGGGGCAGGCAACGTGTAGAGGAGAAGAGAGAGATGTGACCCAACTCAGGAGAGGGAGAGGATGGGTCTGCTCACTCGAAGATGTTTTCTCTCTTCGGGAAGGAACGGGTCAGCGCACTCAAGGGTATTTTCTCTCTTTCAAAGTTTTTTCTCTCCTCTCGGTGGGAATAGAAGTTCAGAAGCAAAAGATGAGTGGAAGCAAGCGTTATGCCTCTGTTTTATCGATGAATAGTGCACAATAATCCACCCTTTTATGAACGACCTAAGCATGTTTATATAGAGAACTCACCGAACATGAGTGAATGCTCAAAAACTAAGCTTAATTATAATTAAAATAATTTAGAATAAAATCTCGAATTTAAGTACAATGACCAAAGTGCCCCTAAGACCTTTTACGCTAATGACGAAACCATACCTGCTTGAGGCGCCTTCTGCCATTACCAGATCTTGGAAGCTTCCCCTAAACTTGTGGCGATGGTTCAGATGATTTGCCACCATATCTTCAATGTCCTTTCAATTATGAGCATTTTGATGCCCTTTAATCATGTTGAGGCAGCCCTTTTCCCACAGGGTGGAAGTCCGGCTAGATTCGTGGACTTTATTTACCAATGTTATTCGACTTGCGATGTTTTGAGTCCTTGCTCTACTTGCAAATGAGAGGGGGGGGGGACCATCACAGTCATTTTGTATCATGTTTGGTCTATTTTGGTCCTTATTTGTGGCTTTTCCTAATTTGGGAGGTCACCGAAAAGAGAGATTTCGACGACCGAGTAGACTTGCTTCTTCTGCAACCTGGGGATTTGTGCTTATCAGACCTTGGATTTAATGCGAGAGTTATACCAGTTTATCGCTCTTCGCGAGTTGGTTGCACTGAACTCATCTTCGCGATGATCCGATGTGCGAATCTTGAGCTGTGCTTTACGAAGTTCAAGACATCTTCTTCTTAAAACCCTGATTTTTTTGGTTTTGTGGTCACTTTCTTTTTAGGAGAAGTTTGACTCTAGGTCGCGCCACAGTGCATGTCCTAGGTCAAAATAATGGGGCGGACATGATCTAAACCATGCCCAAATCTGAGCTTTCTCTGGTCTCAGAGGAAGGTGCCATGGGTCCTTGAAGTCCCTCTCGAGACATGATGTCGCAGTCTCCGAGCTCAGGGACTAGTCCAGTGAAGCCGTATCGCGATAGTGTAAAACCTACCTGTTTGAGGCCACACGGGCATAGGCCCCTTTTGGGTGGTCCGATTGAGCCGAAATTTGGTCCTCGAGGTGTTTTTTTCAAAGTTCTGAATGCAATGGTAGTGGTCTGGTACTGTTCTGAAGCCGGTAACACAGGGATACCGTTATAAGGTCTTTCCTTGGGGCGATAGCACTCCTCTCAGGTTGTCTAGCTTGAGGCTTATTTCGCGGTACAACTTTGGTCTGGCAGTGTCTTGAGTACTAACAGGACCAGGCTGTTGTCGGCCCTCTCCTTATTCGTGTGGGAGATGTAAGTACGTCATTTTTGACTTATAACAGATCGGACAATCAAGTTTTGACATAGTTGGGAATGGTATTGACATAGTTGCCACATGCATCAAGGTCAATGACTGTTGGGCACATGCATCCTGTTGTCAGGTTGATGTGACGCTTCAAATTGATGTTTGTCCATACATCCAGGTTGTCGGCGGCTGATTGACCTTTCAAAGACTTAACATCATTGCTAATTGTGTTGACATAATTGACAAA